AAGATGAGGTGGGTTTGGGAACCTCAGGGGTAACACTGCTGAGCGGTGTCGCTGCTGTTCTGACCTGGCTCCACGTCTGTCAGACGTTCCCTCGGGCGGTCGCTCTGAACTGGACACCGCCCGCTCACACGTGGCTTCGAACAATCCCGCTGGAGGAGTTTCCTGCTCTCCCTCTCCTGTGGCCCCTGCTCCGAATCCGAGCGCTGTCCCTCCTCCCGGGGACACTGCAGGCTCCTGCGCCCGCCAGACCTGGATTCCTGCTTCCTTCCCTCAGCGCCGCCCTCCCTGGAGAATCGGCAGCAGCAGACTCTGAACCGGACCGAGCTGCCGGACCCTGTGCCGGGGTTTAGCTCCCCGGAGCGGCTCTGCGTTTCCTGTGGCCTCGGGGAGGAGGTGGCGGCGGCTGACGGCCGTGGGGACTGGTCCGTGTGCCCCGTGGATGCTCCCGGCGCAGTCTGAGGGTGACAGGGACGTCTCTCGCCAGCAGGGCTCAGAGGATGCCCTAACAGAGCGGGTAGGGGCCCGTTCCCTGGGCCTGACCCCACTGTTCCCCCAGCACTGAGTCCCTGGAGCAGGAGGCTCTGACCGAGTCTGCACAGCGCAGGCCACGCCGGGGAAAGGTCACTACGGTGGGTCCGGGTCCATGACGGGAAATCCCAGGGTTCGACCCTCCTCCGACCCCTGTGCTGGACAGAGCCTGGCAGGAGCCGGGAATCTCCCCCAGGGATCGGGCTCCAGCAGGGGAGGGAACGCCCCGGGCCTGAGGGCAGGAGGGGAAGCCCTGGGAACCCACAGCCTGAGGCAGGAGCTGCCCACGCTCACACCAGGCTGCTGGGGCAATCTGTGCTGCCGGCAACTTGACGCCTTCTCTTGACCCCCCCAGCCCTGGGAACACGTCTGACGGGGGTGAGGGGACGAGGTGCCCGGCCTGCGGCTTTGCTGCCCAGACTCAGGTGAGGGGCTCCAGGATGGTCCCTGCCCCGGCCGGCTCTGCTGGGACGTGCCACGCAGCTGGCACAGAACAGGCAGAGACCCCCAGCCTGGTGCCTGGGTGGGGGGGTCAGGCAGCCCCGCCCCCAGCCCTCTTCTCCCCACACGGCTCTCCACGGAGGTGACTGGGGGGGCACCAATGGGGTCTCAGAGGGAGCTAGAAAGGCAAACGCCGTCCTGCTCTGCAGCGGCACCCTGGGGACCGTCCTGCAGCGCTGGGGGCAGAGCGGGAACCTGCAGCCCCTGGGGACGGAGCCGGGAACGCGCAGACAGAAGGAAATAGTGGTGTAAAATCCCAGGCTACTGAAGCCGATCTCACAAGGGGTCTGGGCCTGACGCGGGATGTCTGACCACTCGGGACTCGGGGCGCTGATCTCCAGCCTCCCTCCCAGCCCCCAGGAGCCACCTCCTCGGGAACCACCTCCCTGCAGGGCCCCTGCCCCAATTACACACCCACCTCTGCCCCCCACTGGCCCTGCTCTAGCCCAGGCCCCTTCCCTGGGGCGCCCCGGCCAGGAGGAGCCTCCCAAGGCCCCACGGGGCTCAGCCCTGGGTGCGGGAGAGGGGGAGTGCAGGGGGAGGCAGCAGGGCCAGGACCCCCGGGGTGGGGGATCTTAAAGCTCAGCGCTGGGAGCTGTTCCCAGGATGGGAGGGGTGAGAGGGGAGACAGTGTCCCCCAGCATCCCTTTAGCGAGGGGGCAGGAGGGAGCCTGGGGGATGCGGAGGGGGCAGGAGGGAGCACAGAGCCCCCTCCCCACTCCATGTGTCAGCAGCAGGCGGTGAAGGCCACCCCTGCCCCGGCAGCCCCGATTGCTCGGCGGGGGGGCAGACAGGAGAGCTGGCCTCTTCCCCCCCAAGCCTCCATTGCTAGGGGGATGGGCAGACACACACTGGTGCCTCTCCCCCTGCAGAGCCTGTCTGCCTAGCGAACTTGCAGTGATGCCCTCTGCATCCTGCCCCGCCCCCCTTGGGCAGCAGGGCTGGCACCGAGGCCAAGAGCCCCCTGTGGGGCAGGTGCTGCAGGACACAGCAGGACAGAGCCTGAGCTCTGGGGTGCACACGAGAGCTGCCTGCCTGGGGGGACCGCCTGCACCGAGCGTCACGGCTGGGGCTGCAGCCCCCACGTTCAGCACTGGGGATTATCGCCTCTTCCTCACGCTCAGTCTCGCTCACTGCCCCACAGTGCCGCCCCACTGCTAACCACAGTGGGTAGATCTGTGTGTGGGAGACACTGACGGGGACCCTGCCACCCCCAGTGCTGCGGGGGTCCTCACCCAGGGCGAGGGGGAGAGTTTGGGAGATTCAGAGGGGAGCCCCCCGCCCAGGAGCCAGAGGGGGAGCAGGGGGATGTGTGTGTGGGGGGAAGGAACCTGCGCCGGGGGGAGCAGTGGGCTGTAGGAGGGAACCTGGGGGGGAACAGGGGTAAGTAGGAAGCAGCAGTGTCATCAACCCCGAGAGGGCGAAACGGCCAGACAGACCCGCACCCCACGGGAGTGTTTGTGTGTCAGGCCGAACCCCTGCTCCCCTCGGCTCTGAGCTGGGCGCCCTCGGGGGGGGGGATGGGGGACGGCAGGAAAGGCTGAAACCACCAAAACACATGTGCAGACTAACGGGCCCCTGCCCTGTCCTGCTGACTGATGGGGGGACCCTGCCCCAACACCTGCCCCGAAGCCTGCCCAGGGACACACGCCAGCTCCCTCGCCGGGCACCTCCCACCCCTGACACTGCCCCAGCCAAGCCCCATCGGAGCCAGCAGCAGACGGGGAAGT